AAAGATGCTTATAGGTTTCTCTAAAAATTAGTTACTTCAAATTGATTTTTATTGTTTTTAATTATGTAGGTTTGTATGTCTGCTTATGGGTATGTGAACATAAGTGTAGCTAAAGTGTATAGTTTGCATGAATATTACAAAAGTGCACTATCATATTTGAGGCCTTCATGTTCCCTCACTACTGACTCATTCCCTCATCCAGGGCAATTTCTAGTTCCCAAAAGATATGCCATTTATTTGTTATGGGAACTCCTTCAGCCAATAGTCTTTAAGATACTGGCCCAGTTTGGGCATGATCTCGTATCCTATAAATGCGGATGAAAAGCAAGCATGTCTCTCTTTGCTGCTGGATTCAGTTCCAGTTCCCAGTATATGCAGAGGACTGCAGATTGTTACCTTTACTGTGAGTTTATCCCCAAATAAATGAACCTTTGTTATACTCCATGCCGGGCTATTGTGGAACTCTTTGGTATGACAACAAACTAGTGAGTTATTTTGTCATATTGTATACATGTAATAGTGAGGCTGCTTGTTTGTTCCTGGCTGCTTAGCCCCTAAATAATCACCCAGAAACCATATTACTTGCAATAATGTTTGGCCAATAGCTTAAGCATATTTCTGACTAACTCATATCTTAAATTAACCCATTTTCATTAATCAGTTTATCACCATGAGGCTGTGGCTTACTGGGCAAAGTTCTGGCGTAGGTCTCTGGTGGGGCTGCATGACGTCACTTGACTCTGCTATTTTTCACCCAGCGTTCAGTTTAGTTTTCCCTACCTACCTCTGTCCTGCCCTGCTACAGGCTCAACTCAAGCCAGCTTTTTTTATTCATTAATTGTAATCACAGCATACAGAGGAGAATCCCACATCATATGCATGTATGTTTCTACCTCTGCTTAAGATATTTTGTATATTGCTGCAATTTTAGGATATATTTATCATATTGCACTGTACATTACTACCTCTGATCAAGATACACACACATATGTGTGTGTGTATATATATATATATATATTCTGCACATTTGTTTAAAGATTGTTCAATATTTTAATATGAAGCCTTAGTCTTTAAGCTATATAGGTATTAAGACTTGCAGGTCAATAGTCATCCATGTTTGTCATTCTTATAGACTAGTCAGGTTCTTTAGATGCATAGAGATTGTATTCCTCATGGATAGGTAATTTTTAACCACTTCAAAGAACTGTACAATATGGCATTTAAGTAACTTAGGATTCTGTTGATGTGAGACACAATTGCTCCTGGTGGTACTGATCTATTCCTGAGAGAATGTTGGGCACTGAGTTTGTTTTCTTCTTGGCAAAACTGGCCTTTGGACAAAGAACTGCCCCTCCATCGACTACTGACAAAGTGTATGGTGTCCAAACTGGACAAGCAGGATACAATCAAAAAGACTGCCAAACCTTGCCAAGACAGGGCAAGATGGTTTTGAAATTTTTCCTGCCTCTGAAAATGGTCTGTCAGATACTCTAGGCCTTAGCCAAAGTTGGTTGCCCCAGCTTTGCAAATGAGACTTTGGGTGATTGCACAGGTAACCAAGTGTCTCTGTCATTTCTTGTGCCTTTTGGAAATTGCTTGATTGCACTTCCTGTTTACTGAGGTAATATTATTTCCCTCCTCAGATCTTCGATGGGGTTGAAGAATAGACAGCCATAGTTACTTTCTCATAGTTACATGAGAATGACTTAGCCAAGAAATTTTTAATGTAAGATTTAGACTCCTTAGGATAGGATAGTTATTGTAACATTTAGCACGTTTCTTGTTTGATGTTTTTCATTCTGGTTGTAATTCTATTTTTTTTTATTGAGAAAAGGAAAAAAAAAGTTTCAGCCTCCTCCCAGCCTCCCATTTCCCTCCCCCTCCTCCCACTCTTCTTCCCCTCCCCCCGCTCCTCTCCCCCTCCCTCTCCAGTCCAAAGAGCAGTCAGGGTTCCCTGCCCTGAGGAAAGTCCAAGGTCCTCCCCGCTCCATCCATGTCTAGGAAGGTGAACATCCAAACTGGCTAGGCTCCCACAAAGCCAGAACATGAAGTAGGATCAAAACCCCGTGCCATTGTCCTTGGCTTCTCATCAGCCCTCATTGCTTGCCATGTTCAGAGAGTCCGGTTTTATCCCATGCTTTTTCAGTCATCTGGTGATGGATGGAGATAGAGACAGAGACCCACACTGGAGCACTGGACTGAGCTCCCAAGGTCCCAATGAGGAGCGGAAGGAGGGAGATGAGCAAGGAAGTCAGGACCACGAGGGGTGCACCCACCCACTGAGACAGTGGGGCTGATCTATTGGGAGCTCACCAAGGCCAGCTGGACTATGACTTAAAAAGCATGTAATTCTAATTTTTATTTGTGTTTTTGCCTCTTCTTTTTTCTGGACAATACTTGATATTTGTTCTTATTGTATATAGTTTTGTACTAGGCTTAGAACACTCTTATTTAGACAAAAGGGAAAGGTGTTGTGGGAACTTCTTCAGCCAATAATAGCCTTTACGATACCAGCCCATTTGGGGCATGGTCTCATATACTATAAAAGCAGAAGAAAAACTTGTGCAGCTCTCTTTTTTGTTGGATATGGTTCCAATTCCCAGTGCAAGCAGATGACTATGGGTTTATCCCAAAATAAATAAACCTTTGTTATACTCCATTCCAAGCTACTGTGGAAGTTTGGTAAGACAACATTTAATCACCCATGTTTTGGTTTTGCTCTATCTTTTATATGTTTAGGAATGAATACTTACCATTGATTATAGTTTCCTACTGTATTCAGTAAAGTAGCATGCTGTAGAAACTTATGACCCGTGAGTGATAAGATGCATCATGGAGCCTTGGTATGTAGCAGAGCTAGATCATCTAGGTTTGTGTAAACCCATGCTGTTGTTTTCACAATGATCAAAGTGGCAGATTCAATAGTTAAATGATTCATGTATCATATTTTTAAAATTCACTCATCCAACTTTCAACATCAGGGTTGCTACTGTATTTTTTTTTCAATTTGACTGAGTATTCTCAAAGAATTAACTGAGAAAATAAATGATACCATGTTTGTTGTCTCAATGAATTACTTTGTCATTGGGCTTCCTTAATCAAGCTTCAGAGAGCCTACTCAAATAAGGACATTTTATCTGCTTTATTCCTGAAAATCAACATCATAAATGTGACAATGTGTTGTATTTTTTTTTTTTTTGATTTTCGAGACGGGGTTTCTCTGTAGCTTTTGGTTCCTGTCCTGGAACTAGCTTTTGTAGACCAGGCTGGCCTCAAACTCATAGAGATCCGCCTGCCTCTGCCTCCTGAGTGCTTGGATTAAAGGCGTGCGCCACCACCGCCCGGCTAATGTGTTGTATTTTTAATGTCCATTTATCTTGGCTGATCCTGTCTCCTCTAAACAAAAGTATATTAAATAAAAGGAAAATGGGGATTCACCCATTAAATAAGAAATACAACTTAATTTACATTAAAGGAAGCTTCTTTTAAGTGAAGGGGAGAAAGGAAAACTATTCCCTTCTCCCAATAAAAGATGTACATTGAGTTGATATAGTCATTATACTGAATATGCGTGGCATCACAAATGAGGTTCAGATAAACCATACAAAGAGGTAAAAATGTGGTTAGGTCTAAGCATTTAGTTTTATATGAGCATTAGCTTTGCTAACATTTATTTTTACAAAAGCTCATATCAATTTAGGATTGTCAATTCACTCGCTTTGGATGTTAACTTCATATTGTATATAATCATACATTTAACTTTGTCTAAAGGGGAATATTTCTCTGATTCATTTCTAAACTCCCAGATGCTTACACATATGCTTTCAACAATTTCAAATTAACTGCTTTTGTTGGGCTGAAGGTTCAGATGATTTAGGTATTCAAGATTCTCATTTTCCTGGACAAGGTGGTTCACTCCCAATGGCAGGAAGAACAGGAGGATCAAAAGTTCACAGGGAGCCTTAAATACATTTTGAATTCCAGGCCAGTTTGTGCTTTGTGAAATTATATTTCAAAAAGTTTATTGTTTCTATCTATATTCTATGTCTCAGAATTCCATTCTTTCCTTGTTTGGATACAGATACATTGATGTATAACCCTTTGAATACTGTTCAAGTCTCCATGCAGCTTGGCAGACCCCTAAATAAAATCTGGTTTTGAAATTGAGCAGGCTTCATTTAACTAGAGATGAGAGTCATCTTTACCCAGTGGTTAGGGTAGATGGCAAAAAAGGCATTTCCCTTGGATTAAAAGCGTATGCTAAGGATCAAGCTTGAGACAAACGTATAGCCTGCATTAATATTCACATAGTCTGAAAGCAATTTGAGGAAGTCAACTAAGCTCATTCTTTTCTACAGCCCAAATAACATTTGATAAGCTATTCAAAGGACACAGGTGTCTCAGTTCAGTGTATGCCAAAAGATAGATGATATTTCTAAGGGGGTCAGATTTACCTCAAAGAGAATAACAAGGCATTCCCTAATATAAAAAAAATCTGATGCTCGTATTTTCAAATATAAGCAATCTGTAAGTTTACTATTTCTCAGTGTGATGTAACACAACATGGTCACATTAGAAACTGTCAATCTGGGTCTCATTAATATGGCACCCACAACCTACCCTCAGAACAAAGATTTAAACTGCATATACTTGATCTCCTAATTCACAGCAATGAGTAGAGTAATTAAAATGTATTAGAACCAGCATACAGAGATAACTTCCTGGGGAGACTGAAGGGGGCAATAAGTTGGAGCCAGAGGGACACAGTATATAGTGTAAATATAATGCATTTTCCTAGGATATAGAGTCTACATATTGTATAGTGTGTTGTGTCCTAACAAACTTGTAAAAGCTAGGTGAAAAATATGGGCACTGACACATTGTGTATATAAGAAGAATATTGGTAAATTTTAGACAGGATCCAAAGATGATTTCGTTACATAGAAAGCATAAACAGTCGGGAAGGTTTTCTTTTAAAACAATACAAAATCAATCATGAAAGTAAGCATTTATTTAGAATGACAATTCCTAACAAGAATTAAATGATGACAATGAGCAAAAGTTTCAAACAAATTGTGTGTGCATATATATATATATATATGCATGTACATATATTAATTTACGCAAACCACCACCATGTTGCTATACAACTAAATTAACCTATAAGGTGAAAGATATCACGGTTTCATTATAAATCAAATACCAAAACTTTGCAAATCGTACATAAACATATAGTCATGTGAAATGAACACAGAAGAACAGCCCAAGAGGGAAAGTTGTCTCACTCTATGAGGTGAAAATGTAGACAGGTTTGTGTCTACACCCTCAATACATCTTTTCCCATCAAGCTTTTTTTTTTAATATACTAGCTTTTCTAAGACTTATAAAAAATCTTGTTTCAAGTTACAAGAACATCTGATTTTGTATACATAACCATATACAGAACAACTGCCACATGTAGCAAGTAAAGAACTTTTGCTGTAACATTTTTTCCAGATTTCCAGATTCTGGTCCATCTAGTAGGTTGGAATGATTTACCAGTTGGCATTTATGTTATTGGAACCAGTTGGAACCATTCTATACATAAGCTAAGTGCTAAAGCTTGCTTGGTTTGAGACAAATGGATTTCTAACTGGAGACAGGATTCTGAACACAGTGCTTGCTTTTTCTAGTTTATACTAACTAGGTAGACCTTGACGCAGCAACCCTGGCGTGTGGAGGGGCAGTACTGTTGATATGCTAATTATAACTGTTTTCTACATGTGCTCAGATAGCTATAGTAATAAGACCTACTCACAATTATGAAGATAACCAGAAACTCATCTGTTTTAAAAACGATTCAGCATCAAAAGACAGACACTCCTCAAACTGGAATTTCAGAGAAGTGTAGAATGAACAATTCTGTTCATAGATGCCAAAAGTCATTTTCTGCATGCTGAGATGTTGTACATGCACACACACACAGAATACATGCAGATAACCCATATACTTTTTAATTTTAGATTGTTTCCTTGCAAAAGCGATTGTGGTTAGTTATGACATGTAGCAACATGTAGTCTATCTTTGGTTCTATGATTTAGAGATAATTTTCCAAAAAATAAATGAGCATGACAAGAAAAATAATTCAGCTATCTTAAGAGAAAACTTAGTATTTTATTTAAAAAACTGAGCAAAAAAATATATAACTAATATTTGTTTTCGACATCTCCTCTAATTCTCTAGCTTAAAATCTAACACCAGTGCAATTTTATCAAACTGAATGTGCATACTGTATTTACCTACACAGCAAAGACACAAAATATCATAGAACAAAATAGTAATTTCCCTTAAAATCGCTTAAGAATTATTCATTCTAAAATGTATTAAGAAATTAAACTGCTAAAAATATATTGACAATGCTGATTCTGAAAAACTGCAAGAAAATAAAGATGGATGTAGTGGTATCTGCAGATTGCACAGATCTTCCAAAAATAAAAGGACTTGTAATTCAAAGACCCTCCCTGCACATATTTTCGCCAATATTTACATGTTGGAAATTCTAGATGATTACTTTTCCAAAGTTTCCTCTAGCTTCCCTTACGGTTTCAACTCTTGGCATAATTACTGAGCTTCGTTTGCTGACGACCTCCGTCTCTTTTCGAATATGATTTTGGAATCATATAATTCTCTCTCCCTATAGCCAAGGGACGGTCCTTTCAGATACTTTGCCTCAGCCACCTTATAATCTAAGCCATCAACTACAGAAATGGAGCAAATAATCGCTTCTGGTAGAAGAACTTCCAAGATAAACTTAATTTTGTCATCTTTTATCAGAGTGAGCATCTTCTGATCGATTTGTTTATAGATTTCTTGTAGATATTTCACCACCTGATCTAGTTGATCTTCATCTTCAAAGTATGTTTCGATACAGGGTGTGAAACTCTTGGCATTCAAAAATGATTTCAGCCATCTGGATTTTTTTGTGCCCTTTAAAATGCCCAAGAGATGGCTCTCTGCACCTTTTTCATTGACAATGAAATTGACCAGGTTCTTGTTAGCACGGTCCCGAGCAGGCTTCATCCGATCAGGGAGAATTTTCTGGAAAGATATTTTCTTGGCATGGGAAGTCACAGACATTTGCTCCCCTGTGTCTTCATTGGGTAGCTTTGGAAAGATATTTCTGAAGGTGTCTTGATTGATTATTTTCCTGACTGGGTAACTGATGTCAGCAGCATAGTACTCAAAGAATGAGCCCTTAAAAGATCCACAACCTAGTCTAACTCTGTAGTCGCAAATCAGCGACACGCACCAATCGATGCTTTCACCATACTCCTCCCTAGCTTTCTCCACTAGTTCCTGCTTCTCTTTACAGTCGTATTTTTTTAATCTTCTCAAAGAGACTCTAACGCCTTTCTTTTGAGGATTCATGTTTGCCTCAACCAAAAGCACACTTGCTTTCCTCTCTTTTCGCCTAATGCTTTTTATCACTGCTGGCCAAAATGGGCATTTTTGATATTTAAACCACACTATCATTCCGGGTTCAAATGCCCGCGTCTCGTAGCGGAGAAGGAAGCGCGGAAGCTCTTCTTCATTCTCTTCATCATTGCCTAGTGCAGCTGCACTAACAGGATTTAGAGAAGGTAGCTTGTCAGAAGCTTGAGCTTCTTCCTCAAGATCTTCAAAATCTGGTCTCTGAATTAGTAGGTCACTGTTGACTGGATTACTACAGACAGGAAGTGAAACCTGAGAGTCCCCTGAGCAGCCTTCAGGGGAGGTCTCAGCATCCATTTCTGATTCCACAGAAGATTGATTCTGGCTGCCATAGAGATTCTGGCTGCCACAGAGATTCTGGCTGCCATAGAGATTCTGGCTGCCATAGAGATTCTGGCTGCCATAGAAGCATGGAATCAGATATGATGGGCCCTCTCCAGGATCGTCCATATAATCCTCTGGGAAGGTGGAGCACTCAGAGGAACCTGCTGGGGCTTCTGGGTACATGCCTTGGATCTCTTCTTTGGCTACAACCAGATCGTCTGCTGATACAATAAACTTTTCTTCTTTAATGTCTTCACTTTCCTCTTTGAATGATAAATTCACAGACATAATTGTTGAGATGTCAACCTTTTTCTTTTCTTCTTTTTTATCATCATCATCATCATCGTTTATAAACGAAGGGTAAACTGGGTACCAGCTGAAGCCCCGGGGTGGCTTTGAATCCTCTTCACCTGGAATACCCCCATAAATGGTGTACACTTGCATCTTATCGTCAGCTAGGGAATCATCACTCTCTGAGCACAGTAAAATGGAGGCTGAGTCTTCTTGGGGGCTGCTTTCCAGTTTCCGATACTTTTTAGGGGGAGGTGAATCAGACCCCTCCACCGGTTCACTTTCAGATGCTCTAGCGGTGTCTTCTTCATCTGGCATGCTTTCCTGGCTCTCATTTATCTCTGTCACCACTTCCAGCGCCATTTTCAGCGATTTTTCATAGGCTGTCTCTTCCCTAGGGAGAACTTTGACCTCTGACTGTTCTGCTAGTGAGGCCAAAATAGCTTCAACCTCGGATTTAGTTAGTGGTATTGTGTCTCTGCTGATCACGGTAATTTTCTCACCTATTGGAAGTAACTGAACTTCCAGAGAATATGCCGTTACCCTTTTACTACTTGACGCAATTTCAGACCTACATAAGACTTCTGCTGGCCATAACTGTTCTTTCCAAAAACATAGGACATAGTCACCATCCATTATGATTTAGATTAGTGTGACAAGTAGTTAGTATTACAAAGATTGGTTGACCTTGTGTCTGCAAATACAAGTGCTATCAAAACAACAGTCTTATTAAAGTTTCTTTTGGTTTGGAGCCACAAAGAGTTTATGGTTTATGTGCACTGTTTTCTTCCACAAATATGTCCCCAGGATACTTGAACATGTTGTTTGAATAAGAACTCTGGAAGATACTGAAATAGGGAAAACACTATTAATAAATAAAACTATCTTGCCAAAGTAGCAGGTGAGCAAGAACAAACAAAAGAGATAAAATAAAGAGAGCTGTGTTCGTTGAGAGACCAGATAGAAAAAAAATATCAGCCTAATGGACAGGGAGGTAACCGTGGGAAATAAACTTGTATGATAACCTCAATTCAAGAACCCTTACAGTTTTGCTAAAGAATATGCTTCATTATAGCTAGAAGTACTTGTAATTGTATGCTACGGAATCTATTCATGTCATCCAATACTTTGAGTTTTTTGTATTCCTAGTATTACTTCTGTGGTAGTGAAACTTCAAATCTAGCAACCATGAGGATCATATGGAGGGCCTCATAGAATGTTAGCCTCTGTTCTTTTTTGGGTTTTCGTGACAGGATTTCTCTGTAGCTTTGGAGCCTGTCCTGGAACTAACTCTTATAGACCAGGCTGGCCTCGAACTCACAGAGATCCACCTGCCTCTGCCTCCTGAGTGCAGGGATTAAAGGCATGTGTGACCACTGCCTAGCATTAGGCTCCATTTGTAAAGTCTTATTCAGAAGTTCTAGAATGAGCTTAAAAATTACAATTCCACGAAGTTCTAAAATGATTCCAATACTTCATTAACACTACAAGGCAGTGTTTTAGCTAAGCACAAGGCTTTGCTTCAAACTTTCAACTGACTTATGTTTATACAAAAGTTGCTTTTAAATTGTAATGCTTCAGATAGAAAGCAGGAAGCAAAGTCAAGTATCCTTTAAGATCTCATTGTATTTTCAAATGTGAAGCATCTCCTGAAATGGGACATGTCTTACCCTCTGTCACATGGATGGTGACAGTCTTGCAATGTGATCCAACTATCTTGACTCTCAAGCCAGTTGATTTCCAGGCAGCCCTTTTACCCTTGGGGGCACGTATGTAGTCACACTGCCTTTCTGGGCTCAAGTCGAATCACATGTAGAGTTCCCACAGGTCATGAGCCTCTGATATCAGTCGAGGCTGGACAAAAAGAAGACAGGGAACCAAATAAGTAAAAGGGAAGTGGTAAAAAAAAAAAGAACAACAACCTGCCTACCTAAACTCAGTGGCATGCCACTGTGAAACACAGGCATGAGATAAAATCTCAACATTAATGTAGATGTCATGTAGTGATATTTCATTTGTATTTTAATAAATAAGGCTCATCTAAAGGTCAGAAAAGCAAAGCAGCCAGCTACTGGCTCTTGCCTCTACCTTAGTCCAAAATGGCGATCCTGCCTCCAGGAATCTCAGAATGAGACTGTGTGTGAGAGCTGTCTCCTCCTGTTTTATAATTCTCTCTAGGGCTGGGATTAAGTATGTGCACCACTACCACTTGGTTTCTATGGCAACTAGTGTGTCTATTGGAATTAAAGGGGTGTGTCACCACTGCCTGGTCAGTAAGGCTGACCGTGGGGCTGTTTTACTCTCTGATCTTGAGACAAGCTTTATTTATGAAATACAAATGGAATATCACTACAATGTCATATTTGTTTTCCCTTGTATCCTTACAAGATGAAACATTCCTTACCATTCATGCTGAAATGATCTCTTTCTAGAAAAGTAGGAGGTGAGGCATGAGGGAAGGGAGGTGAGAAATTATCTTGTGTCTACTATGAATCACAGTTTAGACTTTCTGATTGAATCTTTACCTTAGTTATCAAGTGGATTTATTTAAACTTGCAATTGTTTATAATAGAATCACAGTTATATGGCACACTCTGTCTCATAGTCTAATTAATTAAAAAATAGTTTCTCTGCTTTGTTTCCCTGCTTATAACAATGATTGTCTGAAGAAAATTCAGGCTTTCTGGCACATATGCCATGTTATGACTAGAAGCAGAAATGTAGTCTGTTGGTGATATAGATAGGACTTTAACACAAGATCCTTCTTTTTTTTCATGGAGATATGTATATTCTTTTTTTAATTAATTAATTAATTAAAGATTTCTGCCTCCTCCCCGCCACCGCCTCCCATTTCCCTCCCCCTCCCCCAATCAAGTCCCCTTCCCTCATCAGCCCGAAGAGCAATCAGGGTTCCCTGCCCTGTGGGAAGTCCAAGGACCACCCACCTCCTTCCAGGTCTAGTTAGGTGAGCATCCAAACTGCCTAGGCTCCCACAAAGCCAGTATGTGCAGTAGGATCAAAACCCAGTGCCATTGTTCTTGAGTTCTCAGTAGTCCTCATTGTCCTTAACACAAGATCCTTTTTATGGAAGAAGGTTAGAAACTGTGCTAACCATCAAGAGCCTTCTTGGGTTTTTAGAATCCTTTATGCTAAGTATAAGGATTTAAGGGCTGAGGATGTGGCTCAGTGTCAGAGTGTTTGCCTGGCATCTCTAAGGTCCTAGGTTCCATTCCCTGTACCACATTTAGAAACATTAAATAAAGTACATTGAAGGGTTTGTAGTCAGGATAGAAATAGGGTAATATTTTCAGCACAGTTATTCCGATGATTCAGAAGCTCACTTAAAATTGAAATGATACCACATACATATAAAAATAAAAGTCAAGTACAACTTGACACTAATATCCACCATGAATATTCTCTTTCTAGAAAATGTTTACATCGGAGAATGAATGCCCATTTCAAACCAGGTTCAGGAACCCCCTTTAAGAGTCTGATTTCAATATGATTCTATATAAATAAGTTTTTTCCACATGATTTTACATAACTTATTAAATGAGCCTTGTAACAAGTCTGTAATATTTTATCTCAATATTTCACTGAAGATGTAAAAAAGCCCAAATATATATGGGTTGCTATTTTAAATATACAGAATGGTAAAGGCAGCCCTGATTCTCTATATAGATAATGCATATTTTTGTTAGAGATGAATTTCTGATATTTAATTGCATCCATTATAGTAACAAACATATATTGAAATAGCAAATGTAGTTACTGTTCCATAATTTTCTCTATTTATCAGGTTTTATATTTCTCAGAAGCTTTGGAGGCTTCTGTTTTCTATTTACCAGCTATGTAATACTACAGAGTTTGCAAGTATAATATAATATTCTTTATATGGCTTATAGGAATAAGCCAAATGTGTCATTTTGGCCATACACTTAGATGATACAGAAAAATAATTTTTGGCAATCTAGGTTCACCACGTGAAGTGAAAGGAGGACACACACAGAGTTAGTTATAATCAAAACAGCAACTAAGCTACTCATTTGACCAGATGTAGGGAAACTTTCACTCCTGGCAAAAATAAGTATGGTTTAGAAGCATTTAAGTATGTTTATAAATGCATGTGTGCCTGAAACAAAATGAGTATGCTGTTTGAAATACATTTTTCTTTCACAATCAAATAACCGTAAGGCAATCTACACTCTAATGGTATTGAAATGGGATAAACTTATTACAAATAGAACAGCAGCCTGACTACCCAGAAATGCTGAATGCTAACACAGGAGTTTCTGTCACTTTTCTCCAACCACACATATATACACACATAGATTATGTGCCCATGTCTTCACTCAACTGCACATTTGGTCCCCTTCCTATACTCCTACGCATGGAACATATACACACTTTTCTGTGTATTCCAATTAGCAGACGCATCAATACACTGTTGTTGAATACTTTTGTCAGTTTTAGTTCTGTGTAAATGAATAAATGTTTGAAACTTCAGAGAATAACAGAACGCCTTGTAATATTAACAGGGTCTGCCAAGTTAGGAAATTAGCGTGACCGGCCATGCTGCACTGAAGCCTTAATTTAGAGGCTGTAATCTGATCACTCTTTCCCCTCTGTGGACTTAAAAAACCTTGGGAGACACAAAAGTTCCAGAGGATTAATTCCGTCAAAATGCCAGCAATTCTTTAAAAATCACACAGTGTTCCTTCCACTCCAGGATCATCCTTCCTATTTTCTCATTTTTGATCCCAGAGCTCTGAGAAGTCACTAGAAAATAAATTTAAGTCAGACATTACCTTGATGCTTCTTGTCAGCTGCAGTCTGGTAAAATGCGGCTCCTCCCCCAAGGCTGGCAGAGTAGAACTCACAGGCACAGCTCCAAGAAGGCTCCGCCTCCGCAGTGACGCCGAGCAGAAGGCCACTCCCTGAATTACAGGAGAGACAGTTGCCAAGAAAAACTGCTGAAGTGTGGAGACGTGGAAAGTGGAAATGTCTCCCCTTACAGAACTCTACAGTGTAAGAGCAACAAGGGTCTGTCCAAGTTCCATTCAAAGCCTGAGAGTGTATGATGTCTTGAGGAGGTAGCAAAAGCACTTTATCTCACAAGAAAACCCCAGTTTAAATATTCTTACACATTTTAACTAGCCTTCTCTGGCATCCTATGTCTATAAGTGATTATTTTCTCTTTTTTATTAGTATGTCTTCATCGCAAAATAAAGGGCTTCATTATGAACTTTTCCATATATGCCTATCATGTGCCTTGCTCTTTATATATCCCTCGTTGTCCTTTCTTGCTCCTACTTCCCACTCTGAATGATCCCTTTCCTCTTCCCTGTGGCATCCCCCCGACTCATACACATGCGTACACAGTATACGAAAAACCCCCATACTCTACTTAGAATAAGAATACAACAGAGCCTCTTTCGGCACATAACATCACCCAGCCCAGCCTGTCTGGGCACTGGGTCCGAATCCTTGGGGCACCCAAGCGGGCGGGAGTCCCTTTGTTTCGATCGCCTGTCTGCACCAAGCAGGGTAGGCGCTTTGTTTGCGACCTGCCCAACCAGCACGGAGACCTGATCTCTCAGCGCCAGGAGAGCCAACGTTGGGGAGAGCCAGCTTTGGGTAGGTAAGGAGACCTGATCCGGTAAAAGAAGATCCATAAGGGAGCATTTGGAAGAAGAGATGGGCAGACGCCAAGGCAAGAATTCACCCAACAAGCTGAAAAGCAACATGAAGCCACCAGAAACCAGCGACCTCACAACGGGAGGACTTGAACACCTTAATCAAGAAGAAGTAGAAAAGATTGACTTTATGAAAGTGATTGATGCCCTTAAACAGCATGTAAAAAACGCGCTTATAGAAATGGATGAGAAATATAAAAGAAAGTTTGAAGAATTGAATAAATCAGTGAATAATACCCTAGAAAACCAAGGAAAAACAATCAAACAGATAATGGAAACAGTTCAAGACTTGAAAACTGAAATGGAGGCAAAGAAGAAAACACAAACAGAGGGCCGGCTGGACATGGAAAATTTAAGTAAACAAACAAAGTCTAAAGAAACAAGCATAACCAACAGAATACAAGAGTTAGAAGAAAGAATCTCAGATTCTGAAGATACCATAGAGAAAATAAACACACTGATCAAAGAAAACAGCAAATCCAACAAACTCTCATCACAAAACATTCAGGAAATATGGGACACAATAAAAAGACCAAACCTAAGAATAATAGGAGTAGAAGAAGGAGAAGAAGTGCAGCTCAATGGTCCAGAAAATATATTTAATAAAATTATAGAAGAAAACTTTCCCAACCTAAAGAAAGATATACCTATGAAGGTTCAAGAAGCATACAGAACACCGAATAGGCTGGATCAAAAAAAAAATCCCCTCGCCATATAATTATCAAAACACAAAGCATACAGAATAAGGAAAGAATATTAAGAGCTGCAAAGGAAAAAGGCCAAATTACTTATAAAGGTAAACCTATCAGACTTACACCTGACTTCTCCATGGAAACCATGAAAGCCAGAAGGTCCTGGATAGATGTTCTGCAGAAACTGAGAGACCATGGATGCAAGCCCAGATTACTATACCCAGCCAAGGTTTCGTTCACTATAAATGGAGAAAACAAAATTTTCCAGGATAAAAACAAATTTAAACAATACGGAGCCACAAATCCAGCCTTACAGAAAATAATAGAAGGAAAATCACTAACTAAGGAGTCCAACAATGACCACAATACCTCAGACATCTAGAGACCCTTCACATACACAAAACAAAGAAGGGAAACACACAAACTCTACGACTAAAATATGACCGGAGTTAACAACCACTGGTCATTAATATCACTTAATGTCAATGGACTCAACTCACCTATTAAAAGGCACAGGCTAAGAAACTGGATACGAAAACAGGATCCAACATTCTGCTGTTTACAAGAAACACACCTCAACCACAAAGACAGGCACCTACTCAGAGTAAAAGGCTGGGAAAAGGCTTATCAAGCAAATGGACCTAAGAAACAAGCAGGTGTGGCCATACTAATCTCTAACAAAGTAGACTTCAAACTTAAATCAATCAGAAGAGATGGAGAGGGGCATTTTATACTCATAACAGGAACAGTTCATCAGGATGAAGTCTCAATCCTGAACATCTATGCCCCTAATATAAAAGCACCCACGTACATAAAAGAAACATTGCTAAAACTCAAGGCAGCCATCAAACCGCACACACTAATAGTAGGAGACTTCAACACTCCTCTCTCACCAATGGACAGGTCAATCAGACAGAAACCTAACAGAGAAACAAGAGAATTAATGGAGGTAATGAATCAAATGGACTTAACAGACATCTATAGATTATTCCACCCAAATAGGAAAGAATATACCTTCTTCTCTGCAGCTCATGGAACCTTCTCAAAAATCGACCACATAGTCGGTAACAAAGCAAACATCCACAGTTACAAAAAAATATTAGTAACCACCTGTGTCTTATCAGATCACCATGGATCAAAGTTAGAATTCAACAACAATCCTAACCCCAGAAAGCCTACAAATTCATGGAAACTGAACAGTCAACTACTGAACCATACCTGGATTAAGGAAGAAATTAAGAAAAAAATTAAAGTCTTCCTGGAATTCAATGAAAATAAAGAAACAACATACTTAAACTTATGGGACACTATGAAAGCAGTCCTAAGAGGAAAGTTCATAGCACTAAGTGCCCACTTAAAGAAAATAGAGAAAGCTCACATTGGAGACTTAACAGCCCACCTGAAAGCTCTAGAAAAAAAAAGAAACAGACTCACCTAGGAGGAGTAGAAGACTGGAAATAATCAAACTGAGGGCTGAAATCAACAAAATAGAAACACAGAAAACAATACAAAGAATCAATGAAACAAAAAGCTGGTTCCTGGAGAAAATCAACAAGATTGATAAACCCCTATCCAAACTAATCAAACGGCAGAGAGAGAATTTGCAAATTAATAAGATCAGAAATGAAAAGGGGGACAACCACAGACACAGAGGAAATTCAGAGAATCATTAGATCTTACTACAAAAGCCTATATGCCACAAAACTGGAAAATGTAAAGGAAACGGACACTTTTTTAGATAAATACCATATACCAAAGTTAAACCAGGACCAGGTGAACAACCTAAATAGACCTGTTAGTCGCGAAGAATTAGAAGAGGTTATCAAAAACCTCCCTACCAAAAAAAGCCCAGGACCAGATGGCTTCAATGCGGAATTCTTCCAGAACTTCCAAGAAGAACTAATACCTATACTCCTTAATGTATTTCACAATATAGAAACAGAAGAGGCATTGCCAAATTCCTTTTATGAAGCTACATTTACCCTGATACCAAAACCGCACAAAGACTCAACCAAGAAAGAAAATTACAGACCAATCTCACTCATGAACATCGATGCAAAAATCCTCAACAAAATACTGGCAAACCGTATCCAAGAACACATTAGAAAAATTAACCATTATGATCAAGTAGGCTTCATCCCAGGGATGCAGGGCTGGTTCAACATACGAGAATCTATCAATGTAATCCATCATATAAATAAACTGAAAGAAAAAAAATATATGATCATTTCACTAGATGCTGAAAAAGCATTTGACAAAATTCAACACCCCTTTATGATAAAAGTATTGGAGAGATTAGGGATACAAGGGACATACCTAAATATAATAAAAGCTATATACAGCAAGCCGACAGCTAACATCAAATTAAATGGAGAGAAACTTAAAGCCATCCCACTAAACTCAGGAACACGACAAGGCTGTCCACTCTCGCCATACCTCTTCAATATAGTGCTTGAAGTTCTAGCAATAGCAATAAGACAACATAAGGGGATCAAGGGGATTCGAATTGGAAAGGAAGAAGTGAAACTTTTGTTATTTGCAGATGATATGATAGTGTACATAAGGGACCCCCAAAACTCCACCAAAGAACATTTACAGCTGATAAGCACCATTAGTAATGTGGCAGGATACAAGATCAACTCCAAAAAATCAGTCGCCCTTCTATATACAAAGGATACGGAAGCAGAGAGGGAAATCAGAGAAGCTTCACCTTTCACGATAGCCACAAACAGCATAAAATATCTTGGGGTAACTCTAACCAAGGAAGTGAAAGATCAATTTGACAAGAACTTTAAGGCATTGAAGAAAGAAACTGAGGAGTATACCAGAAAATGGAAGGACCTCCCTTGCTCTTGGATTGGGAGGATCAACATAGTAAAAATGGCAATTCTACCAAAGGCAATTTATAGATTCAATGCAATCCCCATCAAGATCCCATCAAAATTCTTCACAGATCTTGAGAGGGCAATAATCAACTTTATATGGAAAAACAAAAAACCCAGGATAGCCAAAACAATCCTATACAATAAAGGATTGTCTGGAGGCATTACCATCCCTGACTTCAAACTCTATTACAGAGCTACAGTGATGAAAACAGTGTGGTACTGGCATAAAAACAGAGAAGTCGACCAATGGAATCGTATAGAAGACCCGAATTTTGACCCACAAACCTATGAACACCTCATTTTTGATAAAGGAGCTAAAAGTATACAATGGAAAAAAGAAAGCATCTTCAACAAATGGTGCTGGCATAACTGAATGTCAATCTGTAGAAGAATGAAAATATACCCATATCTATCACCATGCACAAAACTCAAGTTCAAATGGATTAAAGACCTCACTATCAGTCAGAACACATTGAACCTGATAGAAGAGAAATTAGGAAGTACCCTACAGGAGATGGGCACAGGAGATCGCTTCCTATGTGTAACCCCAACAGCACAGACATTAAGGGCAACATTGAATAAATGGGACCTACTAAAACTGAGAAGCTTCTGTAAAGCAAAGGACACTGTCACCAAGACAAAAAGGCAACCTATTGACTGGGAG